ATTATCATTCAAAATAATCCTGGAACTTGCATATATGGCCGCAGGCTCCTGTATAAAAGATTTGTGTTTTCAAAGTCCCAAGCACAGCTTTCCACTGTCTATACAGTGGTAAATGCCGATGGACAGCTAACAACAAGGTGTGTCCTCACAGGATACATCCAACTGCTTTGTGCATCCTGTTATTTCTGTCCAGATCAAAGTTTTACTTTTACATGAGTCATAGGTAGTGACACTGGCTGCAGTCTCTAATTGGGCCTGTGATTTGCTGACTCACGGCCTAGAGGATCTCCATGTGGGGACCTCAGGAAGCTGGCTGTTGGCACGATTAATTACTATGGGCACACCCAGATTCTGGCTCACATTAAGTAAATATCTTCCCCTAATCAGATTGAGTCCAGCTAAAGAACTAAGGCCATAAAGCAGATCCCATGACTCAGATGAGAGTTCAAGAAAGTAGGAGCCAATGCACTGCCAGGTCTGCGACTCAAGCATCCTGTTGCTGAAGGACATGGCCACTAGTGCTTAGTCTGTACATTCTCCTTCCACAAGCTGACCTAAAAGTTAAACATTTCATCAGCACAAGCAATAGGTGCTTGTAGCTTTTTGTGCAGCCAGCACGTGCACTGTGGTGAGGCAGAGATAGATGTTCAGCTGCTCCCGGGCTCTGTGTAGGAGGCCAAAGCACAGCCAACTATCAGGGTGTACCTAGCAAAGATTCAGCATCTCAGTAGTCAATGGAGGACATTTGCTTTCCAGATCTTGGTGATGCAGATAATTAAATGGAAACACTACAGTTAATATGCTTCAGTTTCAGATAGATGGGTTATTTGACCAGTATATCCAACAGTACAAAGAAATACTGCATAGCAGTAGAGAAAGTGCCACAGTGCAAATTATGCACTCAGTTCCTTCCAGAAGAAAACAACTGCTCACAGTCCAAAGGCTATGCTGGAGACATGGACGGGGGGCACACAGGAGCTTTGTTTCCTACAGATGGGTAGGCATATTTTCCTAGTGCAGAGAAAACCAAAAGAATAGAGAACATAGGAACAGAAAGAGCTGGCTGTACCTGGACAGATTGGGGTGTGGGTCATCTGAGGTCTGGTAAAGTACCTTACCTCAGCGCTCTCAGTGAATAACACTGCTCCCCAGGTAGGATTAAGAACTCCTGTCCCTTTCAAGGTTCACTTGTATGCTGCGTCTTAAGTAGCCACAAGGGATTACAGGCAGTATCAGGTGCCAGTTTGTCTATAAAGGTCACACTATGCAAAAAAACCCAAGCAAAGACCTGGAAAGGGTAATCAGAGGGGCATGGCTTTCCCCTGGAGACATGCAAACCGGTGGTGCCTGGTCTCTAAAACTGCATTCTTTGGCACTCTAATCAAGTCTGCTTGGCATAAACCAGGGTGTGTGGGTTTCTGATTTCCTGGCACCAGAACAGCCAAATCACAGGGAAGAACTGGAGGCAACAACATGCCAGTGAGTCACCCATCCATGGATGGACACTAGTTCCCTTTCTGCTCTGTGGGCTGAGAAATGCAGAAAGAGACCTGCAACTCAGCCATATTTTCTGCTCTTATGAACACTGACTTTGTGCTCAGATATCCTAAGGGCTGGAGAGAACATTTGTTACAGTCCAAAAGGTAAACAACCATGCTGCAAAGAACTTCAGGGCAAAAAAAATGCATCCTAAAAGTATTATTTTGCAAGGCCGCAGGAAATGGCAAATGCAATGTCCTGCCAGCACCATGTACTCTTCAGAGTGGTACAAAAAAACCCCAAAAGGGCAACACTGATGCAGAAATCTATCAAAATAAGTTTCACATATACTTCATCCTCAACCACAAGGCAGTTACTGCTGAAACCTCCCCTCCCATTCTTTCAGGCTTTGATTATGTGATCGCTACTTCAGCATAAGTCAGGACAACCATGCCCTTCCCAGCTGCTCATCCCTACTGTTTTCTTTGTGCCAGCTCTAGTGCTTACATAGCATGCACTAAGCAGATCAGGGAATGGATCCAGCTGGAAGCCTCACAGAAAAAAAAAAATAGAGAAAAAAGGCAACGAAGGTCGATCTCAGCTGGCTCGAACTCCCGGACCAGCTCAAGGCACACAAACGTTAGCATGCATCCAGGGGAGGTAAAACAGAAACATTATTTTTGGCAGAAGCCTACATTTATGCTGTACTTAAGCAACTGCATATCCATGGACTTTAATAAAGGTGACGCTGAACAACGTAAGGTTATCTTCTGAGAAGGGCAGGCCCACAAGCTTTTAATGCAAAAAGCAGTTGTGGAAAACTAAGGAAGACTTCGACTTCCACATACTGATATTAGACAAAACTTTAGATGTCCAGATTGGAGAAGTTACTTGCTTTGTGTCAGAAAATCCTGCACCTTTTTCTATTCAAGAATTCTAACTCTAAAAGTCCAAGTTTACAGGAAGGGAGTGGTTCTCATATTACACCAACCATAAGGCTCTTGCAACAGTTCCTTTTCAACTAGATAAGATATGCTGTCATGCAAAAGACCTACAGAATCCAGCATGGCAAGTATGCTGATCTCTAATAACCTGCTTCTGCACAAAGCTAGCCTACACGCTGCTCTGTAGGGATTAATTAATATCCTATTGGGAAAGGATATTAAAGATATATTGCAAACTTTAATCCAGGTCTCGGGACTCACCAACACTGTCCACTCATGAGTGTGTGGCACCGTAATAAGTGCCCTCTGTGCAGCTTTTAAGCCTGCATGCAAGTCTGGGCTATCATGAGACAAATGAGATTCAACCTTCTAATCTCCTGTGGATGGGGCAGTCTCCGGGGGAAAAGGAGACCAACAAAACTGTAATCTGAGCTTTATACCTTAACTAAGAAAGGACTACCCACTACACTGCTTTACAAGTGTAGAGCTTCACCCATATGTAGAGAGTAGAAGGGCAGCTGGCTTTCAGATATTCTTCTTTACTTTTTACCCTAAATGCTGTTGTCTCGTCCGTGTTTCTAGTGTGCATTTGGCAGCAGATCAGTAGTTTGGAGAGAGAGCTCTCTGTTGCATTCTATGATGAGACTGGTTAAAGCAGTTTTGCCCTCTGAGGGCTGAAAATTCAATATAACAGCTGGGTTGGTGCAAAGTCTGGGCAGGCCAACTGAAAAGCACTTAAGTCCAAAACTTCAGAGTGATGGCTGTTGTAGGAGTCAGCTTAGCATCCTAGTATTTACTGTCTTATTTTACATTTATCACACTTTATGGCTGAAATATCATGCTTGAGCCTTGACAAGATGACTTGAGAGATAATGAAGCAACTTCTAAACTCATCATTTTTTTATTATATTATTACATGCTACCACACAACTGTACTAGTAACCTCAGGAACAAAGGGTTAGTTCAAAATAGTCAGAGCTTCAACGTAAAATACGCTTTCTGTACATCTCCACAGAGATCAAGCAGAGGACACTATTTCAAGCTGATGACCCTAGACTTTCCAAGCATTTTTTCTAAATCTAATAATAGTGCAATGAATAAGTGAGATGTCACAAAAATCAAGTAAGTTTCAGTAACCATTAGAAAACATATGGTATGCTATGTCAACACAGCAGCTGTAAACCGCTACATGGATTACATTTAAGTGGAGATATTTTAGCTAAGTTTCTGAAGCCACAGAACAAAGTATCTGTCATCATTCCTGGCTATACTGGCTCTCACAGAGGTGTCTGGACAAAGTTACTGCTTTTTTGTTTTTAAGCTCATCTAGAAAAACACCAACACTGCCCTTTACATATATGTCACAGACATGTAATATATGAAAACATTTTCATATTTTTAGGCATGGTACCCTTCTCCCAAAAGACGACTTCACTGAAAAAATTCCACTGAGATAAAACATTGCAGGCAATAATTCCAAGTCCAGCATTGCCAGGACAGAGTGAAGATGATTTTTACAAAGGGGGAACCTAGAAGGTCTAGTTTGAAAAAACATGTGAATAAATACTTCTAAGCAAACTTACCAACTAGCTCCTGAGGATCTCTTTTCTCCAGTTCTGAGAATTCCTGGGAGGAAGGGGGAAGAAACAGATTTTAGTCAAGGTATCCTTCCAATCTAAAAAGCTATACTGTCCATTTGTTTAGAAATTTACACATTACTTCTGAGACAAAAGAATAAAAATTAAGAATGAAATGCAAGTTATTAGATAATAGGGCAATGTTTGTACCATGGAAAGTCAAAGCCTAACAGGATGCTCTGTTTCCTTTCAAAGCTGGAGTCTAAATTTAACGAAAGAATTCAGGCTTTGTTTCTATGAGTCCTAGACACTCGGCTCCTTTCGAATTCCACAAAAACTGCTGTACTTGAAGCCTTTCCTCAAAATAGATCAAACCATAGATTCTTCACTTTTGGTGACTGGCCCTTGGCACTGGCCAAGAGTCAATGCTTTAGGGCATAGCTAGCTAAATACAAGCTGGATCCAGCCCACAGAAAACTACTTAAGCCCTGGGAATGCCTACCACAGGCCTGGGCAACTTGCAGTCCTCTAAGCAGGGGCCAGCAGGATGCATTCCCCAGAGTAACATGAAAACAGCTGAAATGCCAGAGGCAGCAGCAGAGCAAGACGACTTCAGAGCGGCATCTGATCGGCCTCTCCACAGATACCCAAGGCTCTGCAGGGTCCCAGACTGCAGAGGTTTGCCAGTTGTGCGTGGTGCCAGAATTCACTTCTGTAATTGTGCCATTCAGGGCTTTGGCTGATAAACCCTCTATGAACCAAAATGCCAGAGAACATGGTGGTGATGCAGATCCTGTATTCCCATTTTGAAAGAACACTCCCACTGTCAATTCTCTCTTGGCTGCTACTTTCCAGGAGTGACATAGCCGATCTGCTCTACCAGAAACTCAAGGGCAACCTCCACTGGCTTGTAATGCTCTGTTTGGAGATCTTCTGAACACAGCTAATCCCCCCTTAGTTATATAAATTAAGCCTGCTTTAGTTGAGGGAGCACAGCAGATGTTTGCACCAGAGTCTGCTGAGCAGGAGGTGTTATGTAGGATAAGACACTCTTAAATATGTTTTCACCATATCGAGACCAATATTCAAATATTTTGGTGCTTCCGAGCGACCACAGGAGAGTCACAAGTGATATCAAGTTCAGCACAAATAAAGTTTTGAAACAGTATCAGCTGTATCCCAACATTGCCCTCTCCCCCCTGCCTCTCTCCCAAAGACCTTTTGTGACTCACTGGACTGTGCGTCCAAAATTCCTCAGTGCCTCCAAACACTGAAGCTATTCATTCAACCTGACAGAGACATAATGCTGCCTCCTTGCTGCTTAGTAACCACTCTCTAAACCCCCTCCTTTATTCCATCTCCAATCAGGTGAGAGGTGCATAAGGTGACGAGAAAGCAGCAAGGTCACCAAGCCAGATCTGGGAACAGGCTGTGCCAAATTCACCATGAAAACCCACCAATTTCCAGAGAAGCCAAAGCTCTGGAAGCAGAAAAACAAATTCTTTTTGTGGCACTAACTGCTAAAGGGCACTTTTTATAGCCATTCATGAAGAAAAAAAAAAAGCACCCTGTTTCTCCATAAGTATACTTGGATCACAAAAACACAAGGCTAAAGCTATTTTAGAAAAAAAAAAAAAAAGGACACTAAGGAACACGCATCTTCTCACTGGCCAGCTGGCGAGGCCCCAGGCCCCTTTGTGAGATGGACTGTAGTGTAACAGCTCCAACCCCTCTAAGCTAATGCACTTGGTGTAGTGCATTAACACCTCTTCTCCCAGGGGCTTCAGAAAGAACAGCACAAGCAGGAAAAAAAAAAATTGAGAGAAGCATAACATTTCAAAGCATAAAACTTATGCTAAGAGAAGGAGCTCTCTTTGGCGAGAACACTGGACAGGAATCCAGGGAATCTAGGCTGTGCTCTCCACAAACCTACGCAGACACGGCGTTAACGTGGTGAGCCTCAACCACATCGACATGGTGTTAAGATGGTGACCATCAATTTGCCACCAAAGAAGTGGGGGCAATTCTGCAGTAACTAACAGATTGTGAGGACAAATTCAGATTGCACGCGGGCTGGAGAAGTTCACAGAGCTACAGATACAAGGGAAATGTATGTCCAGGCAACATACAGTAACTCATTAGGCAGCAAACACATGCTGTCAGAAGGCTGCTTTATTCCCTTTAGGGGGAGAACTTGCTAGATATGTAATTAAAAGTATTTCTCACCTTGGTTTGAAACAACAAGCAAATGTTTGTTGAGGTGAAAGGAGGGAACTGCTTTTGTTCCAACCTTGACTGAATTATATCCTGCATTTTTATCTTTTGAAAGTTTTGTTTTAAGTGGACTGAGAGGGAAGAGGAAGAGACGGGCTATGTCCCTGAACACCTCTTGATCCTCCCTCTTACCCAACACTGTATTTATTATTCCATTATACCTCCCATCTTCTGCCCACTTATCCTCTCACCACCCAAGAACACAAAGGCAAGAGAAAAAAATACCCCAAATGACCAATATTGCCAAGCAGGCACTTAAGCAACCCAGTGGCACAGAAAATTCAGGTGCTTTAGACATGTGCTAAATGCCCTCAAGAAGGCTGTCCTCTTATTTGGCCAATTAACAGGGCTGCAAGGGTATTTGCTGTATTTCTGAAGTTTTCAGAAGCCCATTTTCAAGTTTCCTGTAGCTGTTTGGAGCCAGCGCCAAGCGTAAGCACACAATTCTCAGGAAACATGAACTCTGAGAGGTAATCTGATGGCCAAAACCTCTTTGTTATGTACCTTACATTAGACAAATATCTCTAAAATGTCAGATGCATTAAGTAGTATGTTTTATGAATTTCCAGAACCATCAGTAAGTTTGCTTTCACCAGAAGTAAGTTTGTTCTTTAATTTGTATCCTTTAATCCTAGAGGTACAGCACAAGTCTGCCCCATTTGTAACAGGCTGAAGCAAGCCAGTCCTATCAGGCTGCCACTGTGTATTTACCTGGCCTAATCGCCCACACCCATTTCACCACAGCTGCTCTATCAAGTCTAGTCTCCACATCCTCAGGCCATAGCCAAGACATCAGAAACCCCAGAGCTACATCAAGCAAAAGAAAACAAGTTCACTAACATATTATAGCCACACCTCACTGCCCAAAGGATATGAATTTTGCTTACTGATTAATTACTGCGTACCTACACCCACTGCTCCATCATTAACAAGCTGAAGACATCAACACAGCTTTTCATTAAGTCAGACTACTTTCAAGCCTCTTAAATGCCTTCAGAAAACAAAGGGATGACCGACTCTTCCTACAGTGCTTGTTCATATTTGCTCAGTTTACTGTCTAACACTATGGCGAGGCAAGTATCAACAACTTGACCAAAGATGTACAGTTTGGCAGATGCAAGATTTAAGAAGTCTTGTTCAAGCCTCTGAGTGTCTACTGAAGATCCAGAACTTAAGGACAGCCTAAAAACCTTCAGTGGAGTAATCACCCAATAAGAACTGTTCTACACTCCCTTTGGCTAATTTAAGTCTGGGACACACATTGAATACAATGAACTGATTAGAAAAGACAGCATTTAAAAAAAAACCAAACAACAAAACACACCAAACAAAACCCCACCATATTTTCTGCAGATCTAATCCAATATAAAGTTGAATGAGAGAGAGAATCACCGAATAACAAGGTACAATAAATACTGCATGGTTGCTATCTTTTCATTGTGAAATGGAAGAAATATTTACACACAGTCAAGAGATTTCTAAAGGAATTCAAACACATTTAATCAACGGAAAATTTGGAAGATAACTGAATTTTAAGAAGAGAATTTACCTAAATCCATTCAGGGCAAGGTGATCTTTTTGTAGATTACTACATCATCAATACCCACCGTGCTATGTATCAGTACGCTCACATGAAGAGCACAAAATCAAGCAGGTGAGTGGTTCCAAGCAGAGGTGATTTTATGTCAAATCTCTCTTATCAGAGTAAATATATGAAAGCTATCAGAGCCTTCAAGTATCCAGGAGGTACAGGCATCATTTATTGGGTTCATTTGGACCCTGATCACTGAAAAATAACAAGGTTAAGACTTGACTAGTGGCACCTTCCGATACTGCACAGTTTTCACAAGCTGGACCTCTGAAAGGCTGTACGGGAGCATCTATGAATTTACTTTTTCAGCCAGTCTCTCACTATCTGCACAGTCAGCCTGGACACATTAGTTATGCTGAAAATTCTCTCTACCATTATGGAAATACAAAACTTGGGAAAAAAAAAAAAGTGTCCCATGTTCATTCTTTTTTTCTAGTCATTTTATCCCATCTAGTATTACATGATGACCTCTAAGAATGGCTAGATTGAGTTTTAAAAAAAAAGCAATACTGTACTTTATTCCTCTCATGCACTCAGCAAGTTGATTTTCTGGCTGCTATCTACTTTGCAGCCTAGATCTCACAAGATCAACTGTTTAAGGGCCTAAAGCCAGACGGCCTTGCTCCAACAGACCCACTGAAAAGAGTCAAGGGATGCCGTGGTGGTTCAGAGCCAAGTTGGAAGAGGACTGAAAGACAGCAAGACAAGCAAGAGGCAGGCTCCTTTCCCCTGATCCGGAGAGTAACAAAGAGCAGCCTCTGAAGAACGCAAACTGCTATGGGCAAAGACAAAGTATTAAAACAACAACAAGAAGAAAAAAAAAACAACCCACAACTTTTTAACATCTAACAGGACCACTAACATAAGCCACAATTTCTGTGCTTCTAAGAGCAATTCTGCACATCAGCTCACCGATAGCAGAAAACAGTTATTCTATTACTATTCCCGTGTGCGTTCAGGAAAAGGTTTTCCATTTTTTCTACTTCCCCAAAGACAAATGCTTTCTTCAAGCCCTGGGCAAGACGACACTGCCTGCAAGAGCCTGACTGATATGAACCCAGCTTGATGGTTCAGTTTTCATGTATCATAATCAGTCAAAGAAGAAGAGCAAGTTGAAGGGGGGTGTGTGTGTGTGTACACGCACAAGGAAAGCGTTGCATTTTGGCTTAAGATTTCACCTTGCT